CGGGGCGCCTCCGGGCCAGCCCTGTGCCCGAGGAGGGGCCGGAGCCGGGGCTGCCCCCCCACTCTCCAGGGAGACCCCAGCACCCCGGGATGCCCTCGGTCCTGCCCCCCCACCCTCCCATCCTGGGAGACCCCAGCAGCCCGGGATGCCCCCGGTTCTGCTCCTGTCCGGGAGGGGATGTGCTAGCACCTGGGGGGGGAGACACACTCCTGCCCATCTCCATCCTGCCCAGCTGCAGCTGGGGAGGGGAGAGGGTCCCCTGCTGCTGGGCCCCCCCAAGGACTCCAGCACGGAAGGGGGACCATCCTACAGGAGGGTCTTTGGGGGGCAGCCCCCAGGCCCTGCGCACGCACCAAGGGTGCCCACAGACAGGCACCCCTGCCTTGCACACCCTGGAGTGTGCGAACACCCCCATCCGCAGCACACACACTGCATCTCGGGCTGGACGTGCAACCTGCGTCACCTGCATGTACACATGTGTGCGTGCACACGCACACACGTGTGCTCATTCCCTCCAGCCTGGTGCCGGGTCCCTCTCAGAGGGGTCTGCCAGGTGTTCTCATCCCCCCCCCCAGCTCAGCAGGGATCCCTCCCCAACACTATCACTTTATTGTTATTACTATGATTGTTACTGTTATTACTATTATTATCTAGTCGCCTTCCTCGGGAAGCTGCCGGCAGGGGCTTTGGTATCAGCAGGGCTGGGGGCAAGCACAGGATGGGGGAGCATTGCAGAACTGTGCGTACGTGTGGAGACAGAATGAATAAAAGGTAAAGGAGAAATAAGCAACAGAAAGGGAGAGGGAGAGAAATGAAGGGAAATGGGAGAGAAAGGAAAGGGAAAGCAGAGGGCAGTGCCGACGCGGAGTGGGGAGATCCAGGAGTCCTGGCACCGCAGGGCTGCGGGGCCCCAGCCAGCCCCATGCCAGCCCCATACAATCCCACAGCAGCCCCACCGCAGCCCCGCGCAGCGTGGTGCCTGCCTGTGCGGGCACCCAGCCGCAGCACCGCCCGGGGAAGGGGCACAGGGCACCTGGAGCTCAGGGTCTGCAGCCAGGGCACGGGGGAGCCTTCCCTCCAGGGAAGGTCCCTTCAGCCCGTCTCTTGCTGCTGCTGTGGTGCCAGCACTTCTGGCTGGTGTGAGAGCCCACAGCCCGTGCTCCCGCTCTTCCCCTGCTCCCCGCTTCCCACGCTGGCAGGAGCCTCTGTGCCCCTCTCCCTGCCCAGCTTGAATCCCACAACAATCCCCTCAGGGACCCAAGCGCTGGCTTCCCCCCCACCAGTGCTGATTTACCCTGTTTGCCCCAGGGCTGCAGAAGGGATGGGGCAGCTGAACCCTGGCTGGGGGCTGTGTGGGACCAACCTCGGCCGGCACGGCCCGTGGGCCCTCCAAACCCGCTACCCCTGCGCGGCCAGGGCCTCGCCTCATATCACCGGAGCAAACTCTCAGGGGTGTCCCAGTGTCCCCAATGGTCTCACCAGGGAGCAAAGGGACACCAGGGTCTGCAAGAGGTCTGGGGGGGCCCTGGGAAGACCCCTCCCACACAATTAGCAGCTCACTGGCCTAAGATCTAGGAGGGCAGAGGCATGGCAAAGGGAAACAAGTGAAGGTTTAAAAAAATAAAAGATTGAAGGAAAAAGGAGAGAAAAAGAGGCGGGGGGAGAGGGGAAAGGGAGAAAAAAACCTCTAGAGGAGATATAAGAAACCGATAAGTGAACAAAGAGCCGGTATTGAAATAGATCTGAGAGCCGCGCCGTGCTCAGGCCGCGCCGGATCCCTTTGCAGAGGGGTTTGGGGCTTTTCAAAGGCAGCAGCCGCGTCCTCGGCTCAGCATCCACAGGAGGCCGGGGAGGGGGGGGGCTGGTGCCGAGGCGGATGCCGGCAAGGAGGGTGCCGAGGGTCGACCCGCTCTGCTGAGCCGCAGGCCAGGGGTGCCACGGGGTCCCGCCACGGCCCTGGGCTCCTCTCACCCGGCTCTGCTGCCACGGCCCTGCTGCCGTCCGAAGGGTGCGGGTGGTCCCTCCCGAGCCCCCCCCAGCCCTCAGCGGCTGGTGCTGCCTCGGCCATCCCTGCCGGCTGTGGCGCAGTGCCCGAGGCTGGGGGGGGTGTGACAGGACACGGGACCGTGGCCGGGGCGAGGAGCGGCGGGGCAGGGGCACACAAGCGGCCACTGGAGCACGACGACGACGACCACACAGACGTCGGGCAAGCGACCCCCGCCCGCCCCAGCCCTCGCTCAGCCGGTGCGAGGCCCCAGCGCTTTCCCCCC